CATTCGTTTGTAATTGAACTTCTGGACGTGTTTCCTGTGTTGCCTGTAACCGCAGATATCATATCGTCGAACGGTTTGTTGGGCGCCGTAGAGAAATCGTCTAAGAAGGCTGGTGCTCCTGCAGGCACGTTTATATTTTTCATTAGTGTTCGATTGATAGACCAGAAATACTGCTGCGAACTGTGTTTAATTAGTTAAAGTAACAGAATGGGCTTTTCCTCACTGTTCAACTCTAGCCTTCCTTTCCAGAGTAATGAGAAATATTGTTTAATAGGGGTTAACGAAACGGTATATTTACGAAATCATAACTTTATGGAAATAAATCTCCGTTTCTTGTGTTTAAAATCAGCGCACATGTAAATAAACTTACTTGTTTTTGAATGGTCTGTTGCTGCAAATAATTTTACTGCCGTCTCGGCGAATTGAACTTTAGAGCACAGAGCATTTTTGGTTTGCGTTCGCGCTAAATCCTAAATATTAAGTCGTCGACTCTTAATTTTTAAGTAAGTGATGCGGTATTTGTTCTTGTGCCACGTTGTCACTTGAACAAGGTTAAGTTAAGCTGTCCTTATTATACATCAAGGATTTTTTCCCTGAACCTGCTATGCCGCAAGACGTTCGATGCTGCGCGAACCGTCAGTTGGTTGTTCATCGTGCTGATAAACCAATTGTTTCATAGTAATTCTATAAGTCTACTTGCATTTAATGTCCACCGTGTGTTTTTCTTCGGTGGTTTGTTTAATGTTTTCCCGTTAGATCTATTTGCTTGCAGATACGTGCATGCTGTTGCTGTAGTATTTATTGTCTTCTATTTACAGTTGGCAGTTTGATTATGTCATAACTCCTATCATAATCTGATCTTTACTGTAGACATCGTAGTTCTTAACTTATGACTGAATGACGTTCTTTTACAGAGCTCCAGCGATTGGCAGCAAAAGTTACTGCAGCTTGGCAAGAATTTCTCGATGGTCTAAAGACAGATTCCATGAGCGTCACCAAAACGCAATCAACGCTAAATACTCCGACCAAAACTGACTCTAGCAGCAAATCTGTGCATACTTTAGAAACGTCGATTTTTTTTACGTCTGTGGTCCCGGTTGTAGAGTTGACTCGAATGGTGAACCCTACCATTGCCGATCCGAATATTGACGTAGAGGAGTCGGACGACTCGCTGGTGGCGAACGGCTCAAACTCTAACAGTCCGGTCAATGAACAGCCGCCGATGGTCGTATTGCCATCACAGACGTTGGTCAAACCGCCATCGCTGTTGTCGGATAGCGCGAAAGAGAGCTCTCGTAAAATTAAAAAACGGACAGCTATTCCAACAAATGCTGCCATCAGCGACAGCACTGCAAAACACAGAAACGTGAAGCATAAAGATACGCCGTCGAAGCATAGCTCTAAGAACATTCAACCAAAGCTTTTTAAAGCTAATTCACACATGTGTGCCGAACCTAAAACAGCAGCGGTCAAAGAATTGCAACGCTCGACGGTTGCGCCAAAACGACCGCCTCCTGTTCAGGTTGTGGCTAAAACCAATCAAAACAAATCCGATACTAGCTTTGTATCAGATTCTACCAAGTCATACGTATCATCAGTGCCGCCAGTGAAAATCAGGAAAGTACGAACAGCGAAAACGTATCCAACTCGGTTTCGTTCAACAGGTGAGTTACAGAAGCGGTCACATCACGGTGCTCGAAACTTCAAGCTGAACGTGTCGACCGATTTGCCCAAAATATCCGTTTTGATGATGCTAGGTTTTTGTTATAGCATTTTATTTTTGCTTGAAAAATATAACAAACTGCGATACCGAAATTCCTCTAGATGTTATTTGCCTTTGCAAGTGAAAGTTGTTGTAAAAATGTAAGCATCAAAAAAGCGTAAACAGATTTAACGACACTATCGCCATCAGATCGAATCGCACTCTATCCTAAATGCGGAAGCCAACTCATTTCACGTAACTAACTTTGATGCCACTTTTCTGAGGGCGTACCAACAATCTGTTTTCGTGTATGTCATGTTTCACATTGATACCCATTATCTCAGTCAAGATATACGTCGTCACCAGTTATTTTCAATCTGAGATGAAGCCGAAATAAAATCCGGTCTAGTTAATGAACCGTGAATATCAACAAACAATACGAATGCGTCATTAGTCTGTGACTGCTGTTGGAGGAGCATAATAGTAAACCCCTGTTTTAATTGCTTGAAGTTAATCCCGTTCATTTCAAAGCACGCGAAAATAATGGAGCATAAAATTCGCTATACCGAGATATTGTATAGCGATGCATTCCAGTGGCGTAATTTATGGGGTCGTTCTAGAGTTGGTTTAGTTCTAAGTGAAATCTGTAGATCGGCATTGACTGTGATCTCAATAGCAGCTGAGTGACGGTCACTACCGTTTTCAGAGCATCGCCAAACAGTTGCCTTCTGTTATCAATTTCGAATTCTCCAATCGATATTGCTTACACTCGGAAGCAAAGGTTCAGTTAACAAACGTTTGACAAAGTAAGCAAGAATAGGTGTTAACGTTATCTGATCTTAATGCAGGCAGCAAACAAAAGATCCACTTATAACGTTTTCACACTAGTGGCCGAAAATCAATTGTAGGTCGCTTGTGCAGTGATTTGCTGTCATGTCAACATGCTGTATGCCGTAGTGAAGATCCACGCGTACTGACATACCTGTTGAATGTGACGCATCCTTAGTTCTGAAGCTTTTAGTTTGAGGGGCCTGAGGTTTTTCAACTGTTAATCTGACGGGAATCTCGATGACGTTACGCTGAGCACCGTTTTGTACAAAATTGGCTTGTTTTCTTAACTCATAATTTTAGGACTGGAGCAAGAAATACCCTTGCCTCCGAAAAGACCGAAACCGCCAACTCCATACGCGGCTTTTACTACATTAATGGATCCTTTCAGTAGAGCGCCTTTGAAAAGAACAGCCTCTGACATGGATCATGCACCTGATACTGTCAAATCGGTAGACAGCCATGCTGCTCCTCTGCCTGCCGTTGCTACGACCAGTTTAACTCGACCCTCTATATTGCCACCTCTACCATCGAAGCTGTCGACGAAGTTGTCACCTTTGCCACCTGTCGATTCAGCAGTGCGTGCCAAAGCCACTTCAAAACGTGAGAACGACGAACATTTATGCGTACCGGGTTGTTTTTTGTTTGAAACGTAGTTTTTAGCCGTCCAACTAGTCGAAAGTGACAGTTTCATGGCTGCTTTGGAAACCAAGCTACCGGTAAAACCGCCTCTAGTTAAAAAAAAGAAAGTTACGACCAAAAGCGGTCTCGGTTGTGCGGTGTCAGTGTCCACTAGTTTCACGGTAAAACAGGAGGTGCTGTCATTCTCTTCCATCGAAAGCGACAAAGCAATTACAACGACTACTGCTCTGACGGCGTTTTCATCGGAAACACCTGACACAGTTCAGCAGGTGAATATTTTTGCCACCAGTTTATGCCTTCATTCAGCTTTTTCTGCATCACTCACTTGTAGCAGCCGTCGTCGAAGGCAGCGTTGTCATCGACCGGTGTGACGCTTGTGTCCAGTCTTAGCAGCGTCGGTCACGGGTCTGACGGTGATCTTAAGTCGAAGTTGCGTAAAGCAGAGAAGCGGAACGTACAGTGGGCGGATGATCTCAGTTTGGTTCAGGTTCACTACTTCGAAGTGGAGGACGGAGAACGAGGTGACTAGTTAGTGTTCTTGTTGTATTGACGTGTTTGACAACAGGTCCGTTGCCGTTGTTTTCAGTCAATGTCAACCGCATCCGGCCTTATGGTGATTTGAAACATTTTGAGATGCATCGAGAGAGGGAAGCACTTGAGGCAGCTCGACGTATGGGTAATTTTGACGTAAACGCCGACGTGGATCGAAAGACGTCCGTAACGGTAAGTTGTTCTGCCATGCCATTTTGAGCCGTACCTGCCAGCCGCCTAGCCCGTCCTTGGCTACCGGCTACACCGGCTTGCGATGAATTCAGTGTTTCTTTCAGTGGAAACTGATACCGATCGACTGCCCTAAACAGCCGCTGGTGAAGCGCGGTTCGGCGAGCATCGAGCGCGTACTACAAGCACGCCGGCAGCGAAACGTCCTCGCTGAGTTGTACTTCTCGCCAAAGCTGATTCCTGATTCGCCAAAGGAGCCGGACGTCGTCGACAGAGTCCTTTTATCTGAAACGAAGGTCATTCCTCTAGAGGAGGTGAGTGAGTAGCTACCAAAGCGTACTTGTGCTTATCATAAGTTAATTTGCATCAAAGATTGTTGCGCAACGCTAACCTATTAGCCTACTGGCAATCACGGACAACGAATACTTGAGCCGGCTTGTTTACCTTACCACCCATCGGCTTTACTTCATGCCGTGCCTAGAGGGTACATGCACAGCCGACCCAATCATTCTTGTCTTTCTGCCATCAGAATGTCGAGAAGAGGTGAACCGATGGTCTGAATTTCGTCATCCTGGATCGTTAGCCCTATGTTGGTTCATTTAAAATTGACAAGTTTCTTTTACATCAAGGGTGCGCAACATTTTCTTTTCATTAGCCACACTGATCCTCTTACGACGTACGGGTTTTTCTCATTGAAACCTGCCCAGAAGCAGTTCCTTTCTCTACTTTACAAATGCTTCGTATAGTCTTGATGACATTTAGCATGTTTGTCCAAAACTGTAAAAGCAGTGTGCGTGCAGAGCGGCTATTACGATCAAGAACGACTCAAAACTTAGATAAATTGTATGATGACATATACACACCGATACATGTCGTGCGAATGGATCTGAAGGGTCATTTGCTTAATTTGCTGTATAGAACAATGGCAGATGTCTTCTTGCGTTCAGATAGACGGATACGCAAATATAAAACCTTGGATAACATGTAGCTCCATTCGCACTCTAGACGTTGGCAATGCAAGCGGCGTTGTAGACATTTGGTTTCTCTACATTTTCTGATTTCTTCCATCAGGTCTCGTTCAGATCTTCCCTAAATTTTAAGTGTGAGTAGTGTCTTTTGGGTGATTATTACTGATAGTGCCTACTCGGCGTTCTTTTAAATGCAGCTTCCATAAAAGACATGAGGCGCTTTGTCAGCCTCATTGTTCAGTCTCGTTAGACGACCGTTTCAAAGTGTATGACTGCTCTTCACAACTGCCGTAGCGCTTCAGAAATACACGGTCACTGTACTTCGCCCGTCAAGTGATCCCATTGCCAGCTCTTCTCAACGAGAACTCAAAAATTGGACTGTGCTATGCATAAAAATAATAATCAGTGAAAGTTAACGATTTGTGCGGAAAATGTTTTGTACTGCACTGTATTTAAGTTTAGGAATTGAGCAGGGTGTGCTATAGCGTGTCTCACGCATAAAACGTTAATCATCAAGCATCCAGTGAAAGTCTAAACTTGGTTTGTTACGTCCGTCAATACCCCTCATTGTTTGATATAATATTCTTTGAGATGCTTTGACGGCACGAAGGCCTTTCAGACGTTTCAGTTTAGCTAAGATAGCTAAGCACCAAAATAGTTTTCGAATAGATATTTCTTTGTCTGTAGTGATTGCAAGAGGCTGTTAAGGGATTGTAATCATAAGACGCAGCGTTCAGAAACGATGGGATCTATTTGTTCAAAAATGAAATCTCCAGACGATTCTCAAACGTCGACCGGTTTGAGTAACCTGTAATGTTGAGTGCTATATTCGTTCATTCATCTGTATAGTCCTTTACTCCTTTCGGGTTGCGACAGCAGCTCCACCGAGATTCCTAGTGGTTCGGGTCTTCCGCTGTTCAACTAGGCTTTACGGAGTGGATTCTAAGGCATGTCGGGCTTACGAGATGTTAAGTTTAAAACCGACTAGAGTTGTTTGTCACTAGTAGATGATGACTAATGCAAGTTCTTGCGTTGGGACGCTTATCATAATCGCATCGCTTCTTTGCTTCTACTAACATCAGGGCGGGCGGTGTAAGTTGGTCGAGGGTACATGGTACCGAATGCCTGCTGTGCGTAGTTGCACCGTAGCGTCACAACTTTGGCACCAGCAGCGCACATGTTCGTTGCAGAAGCGGGAACACTGGTTCGAGCAACGTACTTGCTTTTTCAAGCAGCAAAAGAAATGCTTTGTAGCCTGCGGGAGCAGCAACTTCACAATGTTTAATCAATGGAAAAACTCTACAAACCCATTTTTAAGATATGCAGGTTTTGAATTACATCTTCAAGCGGCTATTACCAGGTGCTGTTTCCTACGCAGTCTTGGTCAATTTCCAACTGTACTTTGCACACCTTTCTGGGTACTGTCATGTTAATGTTAGACGTTGTGTTCGTACTTTGCAGGTCAGACAGATTGATCTGTATTTAATAGGTTTGTGGGCAGTTTAATCCAAGTTCGCGACTTTTTTTAACCTATCCAGGTGCAGGACTACATTATCAACTATTTAGAGTTCCATTTTAGGTAGTATCCTTAATCGCGTTTATATCAAAGTTATGCGATGCGGAGGTATAGACAGAATTATGAGATGTATATGCTTTAACAATCTTGTGCAACTGTCGCATAACTGCAGTTGGGTTTAAACGGGACAGGTTTTAGGCTGATGCGCAGTGCTACCAGTCATTCAAGAGCGTTACTGCAGAAATAATTCTGAAATTACGTGTAGATCAGCGAAATTCGACACGAAGTATTCTAAGCTTCAGAAGCAGAAGCAGGAACTGCTACAAGGGAAAGGGGCAGAAAAGTTTATTCATTAGGATAACTGTCTCCCGTGCACTTCGATGGTTTTCAACACGTTTTCTCCCGTAGTTCCTATCTAATGTCGTTGAACTCCAGCGCAGTGTCATCAACTAAAAGGACTATTAATTTCTGAAGGAAATAACTGCAGAGAAGTAGCATTATATGGGAAAATTTCATGCTTCTTTCCCATATGATGATTATGTCCGTCCGTCCTTCAGTCAGTCAGTCAGTCAGTTGCGATGACCGCTTATGTTTTCTGATCACGGAGACAGACGCATTAGACAGTGTCTACAACGTTCAAGGTCTAATGCCAGGGTTTGAGCTTCGGCAGAAGATAACCCTAGTCTGAAGCAGAGTTCGTCGGGACGCTTGACCCAGGTAATTCTTGGCAGTGCCTGAAGTTCGGTGGATCATTTGAGCTAGTAGTAGTAGTATCTGTTTCGCTTTCTTTTCTGAAAGCGTTCACAAGACGTGCCCAAACCATCGCAGTTGTTACTTCTCTGTAAGAAGACGCCAGTGGCTGTATACCAGAGCTCTTGGATGCGTGTACTTCGGACCATGTCGAGACTCGAACTGTTCGAAAATTCCTGCTACTTGTTGACTGAAGGGCAGGTGTACGACACAACCACAGTGAAGGAGGTCGATGAGGGTTAGAAGAAAATTTTATTTTTTAACGAGGTATAATTAAAGATTAAAATTTTCAGATCCTGTTTAATGTTCTTCAGAAATCGTTATGAAAGTTATTCTGGCACGACGTGTATGGTATGTCAGTCGCTGTGTCCTCAGATCTCTTCCGATGGTACCGCAAAATTAAGCGGCCCATTTTAAGCGGTAAATGATTAATTTGCGATCCACC